TCGTCGTCGTCGTCGTGTCGTCGTCTCTCTCTCTCTCTCTCTCTCTCTCTCTCTCCTCTTCTTCTTCTCTTTCTCTCTCTCTCTCTCTCTCTCTCTCGCTCTCTCTTTCTCTCTGTCGCATACACACACTCGCTCTCTTACTGCCTCTCTCCCACTTCTCTCATCATTCGAGCACTATGCTGCAGTGTTGCCACGCCGCCGCCTCGCTCCTCCACGATGCAGACGTGACAGCGCGCCAGGCTTCAGCAGCCGGCAGACATCTCCACATATTACTAAGCCGCAATGTCACTACGTATCGACACAGACGACACGCCTCGTCGCTGCATGTATCACTCGCGCGCGCGCGCGGCGATCGCCTCACCACACGACGTCATCGGCAGCGGCTGGTATACTGATTCACAAACCTTCACCACGCAACGGCCCCGACAGACAGCGGACACGCCGTCACCGCCGCCTCGCAGCAGCCCCTACAGCACTGCCGCAGATTAAGTCGTTTGCACGTCGTCTCCGGGGAGCCGTTGTTTAGCGGCGGGCAATTTTTCTGAAACAGAAAATAAGAAGAGAGACATTAACCGTTAGTAAGCTACAATGAGCGGACCGCTGCCGAGGGTTTACCGGGTATCATGGCCCACTGACCGCCGATTGGCTGGCTAGCTGTCACTTTCGACGTTGTATGCAGTGTACGACTACGAGTGTACGCATTATACGCAGTGTACGCAGTCCACGAGTTTTTGTTTCGATTTACAAAACCAAAACTGCCTTCAGTTTCGCCCCGTTATTTTCATTTTCACTGCATGTGATCAGGGATGACGCTGTTATTTATTATTTATTGTTATTTATTATATTTATTTCATCATCAAACAACACTGAAAACCAGACTGGCAGACAAAACACTCAAGGGGTTAGCCTTTACAAATACAATATACTATGTGCGATTTTTTTCGTATAGCTATTAACAAGTTAGAAGTACTAAATTTCTAACAGCCAGACATTCTTTGTCCGCTAAAGGAAATATTTAATTACTTCTTTTTGATGGCGCGACGTCTATCAGCAAATATGGTCAAGGAAACAGCTTCAACTTAGGAGAATCTTGAGGCTATGGATATTATTAACTGCGAAATCTCAACGTGTCTTAATCCACAATGATGATAGATTCGGTGAAAGTTAATCGACGCGAATAGCACGAATATGTCTAAGCTATTAAATACAGTGAGACGCGTAAAATAAACAAGACTAATACACACGACACTTGATTGCCATGAAAGTCTGGTGTCGATTTGAGTGTTATGGTAGTTACTAGTACTAGAGAGCATACAATGAAAACGATTCAACACATAACATGGTAGGAACAATCTCTTATCATTTGTTAATACGAATCAGACGTCAATCTCACAGTCTACAAGCCTGGTGATGTCCGCCAGGAATGCACTATCTCTGGATTCAGCAAAGGAATAAAGCTGGCCTTTCACAATTTCGAAACAAAATTACAGGCCGGGGAGCACAGTCGAATTAACTAGAAATAGCTTCCAAGGGGACTAATGACTGTCATGATATGGCTAATCTGCATGATCTAAAATAGCGATTTATTATGAGCACAGCGCACATCAAAGTTGGTAAACCATTACGAACTATAACAAGAGAATTTCTGCCGAATTTGATCTCTGCCACAGGCGTAATGCATCATGCAATGTCATGACACTATTCTAGGCTCCAAGCAATAGTCAATTCACTATTGGATAATCGAAACAATTTTATGTTTTTTTTCAAGTTAAACATATAATGAGAGCTGTTGCCACACTTCAAATTATGCTGAAAGAAAGGAACGTTTAGGAATGATAACAACTGAAACAATTCCCCACTCTGCATGTTTGCCCACGGTCACTGGGAGGGAGTGTCAGTTCATTAGTGCATATGATTTGAGACTTTGATCAACGGCTGTCAGGTGATGCTAGGGTTACTCGAAATTTTTCACAAGCAAAGACTGCAAGCTGTTGCCAAGGTTACACGCTTATGGCCCGACGCGAAAACGAAGCGATTGATTCTGTGTGTGCTTAGATGGCTACACGTCAACTCCCTTTCAACAGAATGAAGCAGTCAATACTCTCTTACCGATGCATTTTCTCACCGTAGCTTAAAAGTTGGTTGGTGCAGAGAGGCAACGGCAAGGTCAGTGTCGAACCATTAGGTAGGGGCGTAGGCACAAAAGCCAAGATGAGAATTTACATTAGTAACACCTCTAAAATTACACTCGTTTTGTTTGAAAATAAAACACAATTTCTTTCACAACTGACTAAAAATTTACACAACAACGGATAAATAAACAGACAGCACCCCAGTGACGATATAGTTGTTCTCTGCTGCGTATTATTACCAGATACTAGACGTTGTAAAACAGCTACATAACTTAGAACGGAAATTCAAACATGTTCAGAGATAAAATGACACGCGGACTACATTCCCCCAAAACAGCCTCATCTTGGGAGAAATCCGGGTTATGAGGAAACCTTGAATGAGCTGCATGAACAAGCCGAGCTTAATCCGAAACCAATATACGAATTACAATCGAGAAAATTATATACAAAAAACTATCCATCACCGATACCTCATTCGATAGTTCAGGTAAATGTGCATGAGGGTATTACTGATGTGATATTACAGACTATTACTAAAATATATATTGCATATCACGACTTGGTGACCTTTATATGGCCGTGCAATGCCTTAATAGACACTTAAAATGAATACGCAGATGTCACAATTGATCCTATGGCACAGAAACCGATTGTACAAATTGGGAGGTTGTCAAGTTATTAGTACAGTCGGTCCATGAGCCACATACTGAATGTGTTAGGCATAATTATATGCCGAAGCGGTGTTTTTGCTACTTATTAAATCCGTGCTATAAAACAATAGATTTATCGCGAGATTGTAGTGCAAGCTCCGAGCTGCTGCTGCTCTTCAACGAGTCGTTACTATTCGCTGGGAACAGCAGGCATTCTTACGCTCTATCGCTACCCGTAATATGGATGACATAGACCCCAACCCCTTATAGCAGGATGGCCACATCACCCGCCCCACAGATCAATTCGTGCCGCCTACGCCGACTGAAAGAAGCTCAGTTGCTAGGGATAAAAAAACCGGGAGAGAGAGTGCACACTACACATGGCTGCCTGTGCCAACACGTGCTCGCATCACAATGTCGGGTCACACGGTGGCCAGACAGTCTGATTACCTTACTACTTAATTCCTCCCGCAATTCAGGCCTATCACGCCGGCAAATTGGGTGGAAAATCATAACTCCATCTCTCCCGCAATACGCACCCGCTGGCACCTACACAACCCACAGCTGCGCACGCACGCAAGCACGCACGCACGCACACGCTTCTGACCACAGTGTATATCCCATCACATCAGTCCCAGCGCGACAGAGATGATAGCGTTTTTTATATGAACGAGAGGGAGAAAGAGAGACGGCCGCCTAGTGTAGACGGCTCGGCGCATGCAATAAGAAGCACAGCCCAGGCGTGCCAGTATCTACCCCCGCGCGCACGTGCTCGCGCCTTTAGAAGTACGCGTTCCATCAAAATGTCGTAGAAATGGCGCAGAGCCTAGGCGAAACACGCTGAATTCGCGGTGGCCGTGTGCCGAAGCTGTGATCAAGAGCACTCACAAATCAGGACTCCTTTTCACGCGTTGCAACCCCTTTTCAAGACCGACGAGAATTCACCCACTCTTCGGTGAAATCTCCTCTCTATATAGGAGGACGTCCATCATCACTGGGTGTAAGGCGTTTTTTTAAAGCGAGTTTCGTCATGGGGACAGGGATGGGTTCGTGGGCGTGACACAGGTGTATGTAGTGCGCTATATGTAGCATGCTAAACACGTATGTCTCCTTCAGAAAGCCATCTTTACACATACTACCAGGGGTTAATAATGACAAACTACTAGTAGTAGCAGATTCCGGTATGTGTCTGGGCGACAGGTGTGTGGGATGCAACAAATGGGTAAAAATGTCAGCAAGTGATTTCTTATCGGGGGTTGGCAAACGGTTGCCAGACAGACAGACGGCTACAGGGGAATGTCTGCGCGTGCATGGCCCCCCACGAACAGAAGCCACAGACAGTTCACTAGGTGCGGTGATACCGAGATAATTGATAGCGTATGGCCGCCATGCCTACCGTAGATACGGCCAGTCGCATATATACGCGCGACTGTTTCACATTTGTAGTCTGCTTTCCTGTTAATTCGCCACCTGTTAATACCTCTAATGCGTGATATATGACCGCGCCGTAGTAGCGTTGCTTTTCTCAGAGTTTGAACAAAACCGCATTTCCGTTAAATATATAAATTGTCTTTAAAATACACCGCAGAAACTGCACAGGGCATGCACGTACATGTACGGCTGGCTGTACGTACGAGTAGGAGTTAGCAAATTGTTCAGTCGCACGATGGAACTGCGTGGAACATATATTGACTGCGCCTAGTCGCACAGGGGAACTGTCTGGAACATATTATATTGACTGCGTCCAGTCGCAAAGGGGAACTGTCTGAGACATATATTGACTGCGTCCAGTCGCAAAGGGGAACTGTCTGAGACATATATTGACTGCGTCCAGTCGCAAAA